TTACACATTATGCTATGTGATTATTTTAACGCTGTTCATATGATTAATTAGTGTCCGTAATTATGTGATTTTTCTACAGCCTGTTTATAAAAACGCGCCTTTTTCGAGTAATTTTTAATTTAATCAGTTTTTTTTTGCTTTCTTGTTTAGCTAATACACCGTTTAATTTCCTCGGGAATAGTCTGTGCGATATGCAAAATTTTTTGGATATTGCAGAGTTGTTTTTGAATGCTGATGAGGTGGAAAAAATCCATGATTTCGAGGAAGAATGTATGGAAGATTTGGCGCGTGAGAAAGAATACAAAAAGAACACATCAACGGAGGAAAGGATACATCGCACTGCTGAAAGGTCGCCCATTTTGTGTTCTTTGCCCTGTTTCTTCATGTGATGGCTCGGGGAAATTTGTCTTTTAGTTTCTGTTTATTTCAAATTTTTCCATTGCTCGGAAGTTGAAAAAGCTGCACGACTTGTAATATTTTTGCATTTTCCCCGCAAGTTAAACCCTGTGTATTTGTACTGAAAACGTGGCACAGTGCAAGGTGGATGCCTTTGCACGGAAGTCACCATTAGCTTGCTTTTAAGCAACCCTTGAAGAGAGAGCACCATTAGCAGCTTTACTTGTAGGGGATTGCCGTTGTCATGCGCTGTAACTTCGGTTACCCGCCTTTCTGACGACGAATACGAGGACCGTTTTGTCTTTTTGACTGAGGAGGCCATGGCAGTGCAGTGTTGTAGTCAAGGGATTTAATGTTTCTGACAGATGTTTTGAATTCGGTTGATTTGATAAGATGCGCGGATGCGAGGGCGGATGAAAACTTCCCCACCTATGTCAACGGGCAAAAAAGAATATAGTGACATTTATATTAATTCGAGAGTTGATGAGCTTGGCTTATTTTGATACTTCATTTCAGAACCGATCTTGTCCTTTTGCGCTTAAATGATCTCGCTAGCAAGGATTCTGCCCTGAAATCTTTGGCGCGCGATTTCGACCGACGATTGGAGGTGTTGGAAAATCGGCAGGTAACGCGTTTCATCCTTCTAGTAGTTAGAATTTCTCATATTCCTGCATGTTATGCAGCTTGCACATTTTAAACGACGTGTATTGGTTGTTCAAAAAATTTTGTCAACTTCTGTAGTGTTTTGGTGGATCCTAGCCGTTGTGTAAGTTTCTCCCGTAAAAAAGCATAAATTTCTTCCATATTTCGTATTTCTTCCGTATTATGCTTATGCAGATTTTTGAATTATGTCGAGAATGTATGAGGAATTTTTGTGATTGCAGCGAGAAACGCTTGATTATGTGCGGCAGCTGGCCAGCACCCTCGGTAAAGTATCACCAAGCAGCAGTGGCTACGGTTTTTCCCCAGTGCCTCAATCTGTTGGATCGGCTGATGATCGTACTCAAGCAAGTCCTTCAAGTGCTCTGGGTGGTACTGATACGGCACAGCTGCAAAGGCCCGGCTTTCTTCCTCGCCCCGATCCTGTAAGTTTTGCAGTAATATCTTCTAATAAATGTGGTAAAAGACTCATAAGCAAGCGGTCAGTTGCGAGGCTAGATTGTGATCTTGTATTCGAAGTCTGTTTTGTCAGACTGATGTTGCCACCGTCTTCTTTGCTTTCTTTTTTCGTTTTATTTAAAACTGGCTGCTCAATATAATACATTCCAGCCATAAGATTTGCTTTTCTTCGGTTCATCCGTTAGTTTTTTTTAATCTTTTTCATAACTAGCATCATCAGCTGGAAGAGTTATCCTCGGAGCTTATCGTTGAGAAACTATGGGTGAGGCACGGGGTAATCATTCATTAGGAGGCAATTATTTGGTTTTAACTTATCCTGCCTACTCGGAAACTTGGATAACCTGTAAATTTTAGGCTGTCTGGTTCTCTGCTTCTGCAGCTGGCAGCTTTTCCATTTACTTAGATAATGCTGCATAGTCTAATGGTCAGCCTGCCCGCGATTTTGTCGTCCGTTCCGCCTCATGAACAGTTTGACAGCTCAACGGTTCTCAACAGAAATACTTAGAAGGAATCTAACTGCTTTGCCGTTGATGTGTTTATACTATGCATGTACGTATGTGTACATGTGTGTGTGTGTATGTATGTATGTATGTATGTATGTATGTATGTATGTATGTATGTATGTATGTATGTGTATGTTGTATGTGCACCAGTACCTCGCTTGAACGTCGCTTTTCCTAATTCCAAATGAGATTAACGACTCGGAGTTGACTCACAGTATGAATTACAAACATTTCCTCTTTTTAGTGAGAAATTCTGTTTCATTCAGAAAACGATTTACAGAAATTCTGTTGTTTCAGCTGGAAGCTGCTGCTTCATTGGGCAAATATTATCTGAGCCCAACTAAGGGCGAGAAGGACTTTTCATTTGCTGGCCGAGGTATTTCTTTTTGTGCGTCTTAACTTTTCTAACTTCAAAAAGAGGATATGATTCTCCCTAATTCTCCCTACAGTTTAATAGCGATTTTGTGGGGTTATAATGTAACAGTAATATTTGATCTACACATCAAAATCTTGGCGAAGATTGTGCCTTTTCGCCAAATATATTCTATTTCGGTTGACTTGAAGCAAAGTAGCTCTAGTATTTGTGAGACGGTAGGATAACCTGAGTGCCATTTTCAGCTAAGATAATGAACACTGCAGACCACCTTACGAGCGGAGTTTCTAAAAACTTCGATATCTGAATTGTAGATTAGCTCGTTTTTTTAAATATTTCAGTATTTTTTACGGTATGTCTGGAGCGGTAAGCAATTTAGAACAAAAAGAGGGAGAAGATATTGATAAAAAACCTCAGCAATCGATTGAAAAAAACATCTGCATAAGTTTTGCAGCTCGTCCAATAAAGAGGCGTACGCGTACTACTACAGTAACCGGTTGTATCGAAATCCATCCTGAGCCGCAAACGAGCCCAGAAAAGTAAGTTTTTAGGTTTTTCAAGTTTAACGTTATGCTCATCAGAGAAAAATGCTGCATTTTCCCAAAGCGAATGTTAAATGGTAAATTTATTGTCGTAATTTTTGCTCAGTGAGAAGACTTTTTGCTTGCAGAAGTTCCTCGAATCGTTTTGGCAGCTTGTTGTCTTTGGATCCAGCAATATTAAACCGTGGAAGTGACAGCAATATTTTAAAGAAGAAAAGTCCATGGTAAATCCATTTTCATCTATCTGATATAGTTTAATAGAAGGCGCTAAGTTTTTTTTGGCTCTCTTGAAAGTAATGGATTTTTTGAATTTGCTTTTTGGAAAATGCTTAATTTTTCAGTGACAGCTTCGTGTTGCTTGGAGGCGGGCTCATTTTTCCTTTTTGAACTATTTGCGACTGTAATGGCCAGAAATATAGTGCATTGTTAAAGCCACATTTTCAGCATAACGGAAAGTGTAAGACGCGCAAGAAGGCATGAAGAGTACACGTCCATAACAGATGCGATCGACCTCTCGCACCATGACACGGTCTGCATCACTTTTTATTATTTTACGTAGCGCGCGGTAACTTTTAGCCGAAGCAGCATTTATGCGGAAATTGTAATAAAATTGTCTTTTT